TACTGTAATTTTTCTTTTTAATTTCTCTAAACACTAAGCATAATACTGTATATACAGTACTCGTTCAATATCTTTATGACAAAAAATTCTACTACAGATCATTCCATTCTGCCTCAACTCTTGTCCCTCTTGTCACTGCCCTTCAGATGTGACATTCCTAAAACACTGAAGTAGTTTTAATACTCTCCTGCCTTTGCGCCTCTGCATATGCCATGCCCCTTTCTCATACCCTGCAGAAGTACTGAACCTTCAAATATTACCTTAAACAATAACTCCTATGAAGCTTTCCCCAGCCTTCCAGGTAGATTTAAATAGCCCTTTGATAGATGCTCTTACTGTCACCAGCAAAATTCTCATCAAAACAATTATCCTAGCGCTTCCTAAATCTCAATTACATTGCCATGTCCCCACTCAATATAAACTATATTCATCTTTGAAAGTTTAAGCCTGGCATAGTGCTTTGCACACAACAGTTACTGAAAACTATTAACTATGATATTTTCAAATGAATGAATGGACATGTAGAACAGATTTTATAATCATGGACCACACTCAGAACTGAACAGAAAGAGAAAATGAAAAAAAAAACACAAACCATGATTGGTGTTAGGCACTCTGAATTTATGGGCTGACTTGTACAAATCATGCTGGTAACACTTTATAAGGGAAATAATGGTAACACCCAATTTAGATGTGTTAATCTAGGTCATGCGTAGCCATTGCCTTCTTGATATTTGCAAATTTTTGTTAGGTATCACTGAAGTTAAATATCATTCCACTCCTTAGATACCAATATCTTTTAAACTTTTAATCACTTAGCATTCTGGGAAAAAGAAAAAAGGTGAAAAAGCAAACCAAGACAAACTGCTTAATCTCAGAAAAATGCCAAAATAACTGCATATACCTGGTTGGCCGTTTTGGTTTCAGAGGAAATGAACCCATGGGACAAGATTCACCTCACTGAGCTACTACATACATAAGGCTGCAGACTGACTATTACGAAACAATTTTATTTTTATGAGATAATTTAGACATAAAAGTCAATTAAAGAACACCTTTATAAAACCCAATAATGTTTCAATTTTGTATTCAGAGATATTAATTTTGGACCAAATCATAAACATCAGCTGATATCACAGTACCTCTTCCAATGTCTCTGCCTTCCAAATCCTTCAGTGTAAACGATTTTCCTTTTACAATAAGAACAGCATCACCTTCCCACTTTTTGTGTTTTTTCTTTGAAGGCTTACACCAAACGACACTGAAATATTTAACTAGGCTATCAGGTTCCTCTTCTCGTCCCTTAGACACTGTTATTTCTTTAGGGGATGAATGAACTAGAATGAAAAATAAAATAAAAACCACATTACTAAAGGTGACTTTAATATTTAGGTAGTAAGATCACTGAAACAAAAATAAAAGCACAAGAAAGGTAGATTGCATTAAGTATGAGAGAATATTTTATCATACTCGTGTTAGCATTTCATAAACTGGGAACTCAAATGTCAGGTGCTAGCATTACCATGAGTACAATACATGTAAACTTCTTATCATCCCAAAGTCATATAAACTCAGCTGCAGGAGAATAATCATCACTGCCAACATTTTAAAACTCTAGGGGTTACAGATAAAATTTCAGCATCATGGAAAAATATCTAAAATCACATGTTTTGAATAAACAATTGATTTAATTAACAATGACATGTCAAATCAAGGAAAAGTAATATAAGATCACAGAGTTCTCTGAAAGAAAAACCTGTAGTTTTTTTCAAATAAGAACAAAGGTAAAACAGCAAAGTAGCAATTAGACTAAATTTCATTAAAATACTCTTCTCCTAGTTAGGGAGCAAACAGGTTGGGCCACTGATTCTCAGAATTCGGTAGTATACGATCAGGAAATAAAAAGTTCATTCTTACAAAAGCCTATTACTTTTTTTGAAAACACTTCCAGTATCACCTTACAAAAACATAACCAAGCAGTCTAACACAGAAAATTACCCAGCAATGGGGAAACTGATTTATGGTGATAGATCCAGAAAGCGGTTGCTGCCTCTGGAGTTGAGGAACTGACCAGAAAGGGGCAGGAGAGAAGGATTTGTTCTGAGTGGGAGTTACATGGGTGAATGCAGTTAACAAAAATCATCACTAATCATTTAAGAGCTATCATTTTATTGCACATAGATAATACTTCAACTTACAAAAGACAAAACATAATAAGACAAAGAATAACATAATAAGTTGAAAGGCGTGTACAGAATATTCTAAATAATGTTATCTTTTAGTGTTTTGAAGCAAAAACAATCCAAGTTATCTATTAATTCAAAGTACATTTGACACTAGAGACAAAATCTCCTCTTATTTCTCTGTCCTAGTTCCTCTTTTTTCCCATGGCAGTTACAGTTAAAAACTAGCACCCGCATAAGAAACACAGACCGCCCTCACACTGAGCCCTTGCTCCTGCTTCTCATCTAGCTTGTGTATTTTCAACGGCTAGGTAAAAGCTATTCCAGCTGAGGAGAGCGGAATCTCACTCCCCCATTACTGAAGAGCTATTTACTATGTCTTTTACCAAATACACACTTGACCCCAGGAAGCTATCAAAACAACAGAATTTACAAAACAGAAACCAAATGATTACTTTACCTTTTAAGATACACCATCTACTTAAGTAGGAAAAGAAAAAGAAAAAACCCTAAGATTAGTAATAAAAAGAGAATGCCCATTTCCCCCACTTCTATTCAATGTTGTCCTGGAAGTCCTAGCCAATGCAGTAAGTCAATAAAAACAAAAAAATGTGAAGATCACAAAGGAAGAAGTAAAACTGTACCTGTGTGCAAATGATAAATCTGTTTACACAGAAATCCACAGGGAACCTAAGAATGAACAACTATAACTAAAGAAACAAATTCAGCAAGATCACAGGATGCCAGGTTCACAAGTAACAATCAATTGTATTCATAATAGATTAGCAAGAAATAACTGAAAATAAAAAATTTTAATTCCACTATAGTAGCTAAAAAAAAAATACCCACATGAAACACTTTGGATAATATCTAACAAATGGTGTCTAAGGCCTCTACACTGAAAATTTCAGCTGTGCTGAAAGACATTAAGAAAGATATAAGTAAACAAAGCTCCTATTTCATGGACTGGAAATTTCAATTTTAAGATAGAAATTCTCCCCAAAATGATTTCTATATACAACACAATACCAATCAAATTCCAGGATGCCTTTGGTAGAAACTGACAAGTTGATTCTAAAATTTACATGAAAATACAAAGAATCTGGAACAAACCAATTTTTAAAAAGAACAAAGAGGAATCATCCCATCTGATTTCAAGGTTTATTATCACATAATAATAATGAAGATACTTTGGTACTGGGGGGAGGGGGGGAGACTGACACAGATCTGACCAAGTGATTTGCAACAAAGCTGGCAAAGCAAATTCAATGGGGAAAAGAAAGTCTTTCCAACAAATGTTGTTGAATCAGCTGGATATCCACATGGAAAAAGATGAACATCAATCATTAATTCACCCTGAACACAAAGTTTAAATCAAAATGGATCATAGGCCTAAATGTAAAACCTAAAACTACAAATCTGTACAAGAAAATGTAGGAGAAAATATTTGTAATCTTGAAGTAGGCAAAGAATACAAATGCACAAAACATTAAAAATTATATATTGAAGTTTATCAAAATTTTAAAATTTTGGAAGACGTTATTAGGAAAACCTAAAGGAAAGCCACAGGAGGATAAAAATATTCAAAACACATATATAAGACAAAGGACCTGTCTGCAAAATATAGAAAGAATTATGGCTCAAAAGTAAAACAAACAAATCAATAGAAAAATGGGCCAAACACATAAACAGATAATTCAGAAAACATATACAAATAGCCAATAAGCACATAAAAAGATGTGTGACATCATTAGTCATCTGGAAAATGCAAATTTAAAAAACAAGATGCACTTCACATCAACTAGGATGATTAGTACCAAACAGATAATAACAAGCATGGTGGGGATGTGGAGAAACTGGAATCTCATTCACCTCTGGTGGGAACGTATAACAGTGCAGCCACTTTAGAAAACAGTTTTGCAGTTCTTCAAAAGATTAGAGCGACCATTGACCCAGCAATTCCACTCCTCGGTATATGTCCAAGAGAAATGAAAACATATCCACACAAATACTTGTACATGAATGTTTATAGCAGGATTATTCATAACAACCCACAGGTAGAAACAACCCAATTGCCCATTCAACTGACAAATGAATAAACAAAATGTGGTACATCACTACAATGTAATATTATTCAGCCATGAAAAGGAATAAAGCATTAGTACACACTACAACACGTATGAATCTTGAGAACATCATGCTAAGGGAGAAGCCAATCACAAAAGACTACATATTACATGATTCCATTTATTTGAAATGGCCAGAACAGGGAAATCCATAGTAGATGAGTGGTTGCTTAGGGCTGGGAGGTGAGGGTGAGATCAGGTGGTGGGGGGGGGGGGTGGTGGACTGAAAGCTAAAGAGTACAGGGGTTTTTTTTTAAAATGAGGCAAATGTTTTAAAATTGACTGTGGTGATAGTTGCACACAGCTATGAAGATATTACTAAAAATTATGTATTATATGCTTTATGTAGGTGAACTATATGGTATGTGAATTATAACTCAATAAAGCAGCTTAAAAACATGAGATACTAGCACACACTCACTAAATTGACTAAAAGAAAAAAAAACTGTATTAAGTGTTAACAAAGATGTAGAGTCACTTATATCCGGGGGAAAGAAAGATACAGAGCACCTATCAATAGCATACTCTGCTGGAAGAAATGTATAGTACGTCACTTTGGGAAACTGTTTGGCAGACTTCTAAAAAGTTAAACATACGCCTGCTATAACCAGCTATTCCATTGGAGGGTATTTACCAAAGAGAAAGGAAAACCTATGTCCAAAAACCAAAAAACAAAACTTGCACAACTTCAAGCCAGGTAAACCAATCTCCTAAAAGCCTGAAGATCCAGTGTCACTTCGAGAATTCAGATAGCTCATGTTTATCACTGGCATTCGTGGATTTAGAAAGTGAATCTTGTCTATCTTCAAACAACAGATCATCCTCAGAACCATCATGGTTTTTTCTGAGGAAACAAATGATTGATTTGCAGCAGAGTCCAGCTGTGTCTAGAATGCATGGCCCAGTGAGCTCTTAGTCCCTGAAAGGGTTCAGGCTGCTGTAATCATGATCAGAAGACAAGGATGCACAGGACTTAAGCACTGGGCCAAGTCTCCTGGCCTTTCTTCAATAATGAGGGTATCTGGACAAAGGGTAATTTTTATATACTTCTTTGGGGAAAAATATGCTTCTAATATACCAGGAAATATGATGTATATTTTGTATATATTTTTTATTCTCCTCTTTTCATATATTATTGTGAATATATTTCCCACATCATTAAATTAAAAAGTAAAATGATGTTTAATACCTGCATAATATTACCAATGATACTCCTATTAACTGAGAGGGTTCACTTCACTACCATATAGCAGCATAATTTATCGATCTTACCAATTTCTCTCTAGTTGTATTTATTTTTTATCGTTAAAGTTAACACACAGTAAAACTGACTTTGTCTTGGCATACAGTTTTACAAATTTTAACACATGAATAAGTTCATTTAATCACCACCACAATCAGGATCTAGAAAAGTTCCATCACTCCAAGCTTCCTTCATGCTGTTCATTTATAGTCATACCCTTACCCTATTTAATTACTATATTTTCCACCAATATAGTTTGTGTTTTGAGAGTGTCAAATAAATGGAAATCATACAGTATATAGTCTTTCAAGCTGTTTCTCCCATTCAACATAATGTGTTTGAGATTCATCCAAGTTGCTGCCTGTATCAATTTGCTCCGTATTATCGTATGGAATACTGAAAGACAGAGGAGGTGTTTCTAGCTCTAAACTATCATAAATGTACAGATTTTTGTGTGAACACTCACTTCTACCAATTTTATAGATAGAAATGCCTTTTACTTAACATGGTAATTTGAATTTTATTATTAGTGGTAAGACTTTTGAAAACATATTTACATTTCCTCTTTGCTTGACTCCTCTAATTTTACATTATAAAGGATGGACCTAAAAGGTTCTCATTTCTTTAAACTGAATTTTTAATCTGATCTGAAAGCGCCCAACATTCATCCATCCAACAATTTACAGATTGCTCAAAATGTAGTCTAAACTCAAACTCTTATCTATTACTTATTGCAAAATTTCAATGAAGTCTGAGTAGAAAAAAAAGGCATTAAAGAGGACATG